TTTTTTTTTTTWAAAAAAGTCAGTTTRACTTKGTATGTCTAAGTCTTCTTTGTCACATTTATTAATTAAGGCACACTCTCTCACTACAGATTTTCATACTCTGGTTTTCTGAATGTGGTGGACTTTTCTTATTTTCATAGACCATGCAAAACCTGTTGCACTCTGTGATTATTCACTACTCCACACTCCCAATAGACTCCGTACCAACCAAAATGTCACTTAACATATTAAGGCTCAATGAAACAACAGCAGGAAAACAGTTCAARAATATGTAAGGAATGTCAGTTCCCAGCTATTCTGGGCAGTGGGCAGTAAAGTGCTTTGCCTCTGGCAGCTTCACCTAAAGAAATGGAATTGTTCAAGACAGAGTGAGGAACAACCGGATCCTGGGCACTCAGTAAAGTCTGTGCCCAGAGGAAGAGCCTCCAGCACACAAAATCTATGGCAGCAGAACATAGGTGTGACAATGAAAGCAAACACATTGTAATGATAAGCAAAGCTGACCCAAAATTGAAGAACTGTTCCTTTTTGGTGAACTATCAAGCTGTCATATTAACAACTGTCCCTTACTTCTTGTGTCCTTTAAAAGAGAATACCATAACTACTAATTCTACTGCAGTAGTACCCCAGAACCCCAGGAGACCTTTGTGTCCCACCATAATAGGTATYATCTCAACAAACCATTACTAACGCTCGATATAAACAGGAATGAGTAATAAAGATTGGATCAGCCAAGGAAGAGTTCATCTTCCAAAGTCTCTGTGGATGCCACTGCACACAGCTTGTGCTAGAACAATGTGTGTTTTCTCCTTTTTGTGTCTGTAGCTGAGAATCACCCTTTATTTCTGCAGTTCATGAAGATCTCCCGTAAAAGTGCAACAGCAGGAGAGTTACCTACAAACATATAAACTGAAAGAAGAAAAATATTATATGTGGCTACTTGCAGATGTTTTCAAGAGTTACAAATTGTGATTGAAATATTCTTGGAAAAAGACTAAGTCCAAATGTTCAAAGTGCTTATTCAAGAAAGGGGATGACTTTTGCCTGGCACGTCACTTCCTTAAGGTCTGCAMTGGCATATCCCAGGGAGGTGAGCATGGTACACACACCTCTGTTTAACTGCTGGAGATAGGTCACTCCTTGTGGGATTCACCAATGGAAGAAGTTTCTGTACAGCATCTCCCTACCTTGTATCTGTCCATAGGATCTTCCTGCTGCAGCTGGCTCTCTCGCATTGTTTGGTACTCTCGTTCATATTTCTTCAGCTTTTTCGTTGGCACCTGTGGAACAGATTTCAGAAACRTGCATTTAAAGATTAGAGGAACGCCACAAAAGCTGACTGAAAGCTCTTCCTACAAACAGGAAACTGAGGAAGTGTAGGAAAGCTGCTGCTGAACAAAGTCTATCCCCACTGTCCCCCCTTTCCTGCTCATCAAGTGATGTCAAACACTTACCAATACAGATCACATCAACAGAAATCTTTCTGTGCCCACTGCTGCTAATTATTCAAACATTTACAGGAAACAAAAGTGAAATAGAGACATTTTAATAAGACTAACAAGAGGAAAAGAAGCACAAATGAGTAAGAGAACAGGAAAGAGGAAAACATACTTTGATGCATATGACAAACCAAAAAAAAATGTTTTAGCAAGAGAACTGCTAAAAGTGAGGTGAGAACAAAGGAGTGCTCAGACTGGACAATTCCCTGGGGGAGATCCAWGTAATGTTTTTTATTGCTCAGAGCATAATAATGTCTAAATTACAGCCTKTGACCAATGCCCTCATCAAGACTGGCATCTGAGCCCTCCTAGGCACAGGTGGAGGTGCTGCAGTGCAAGAGAACAGTGAGGTGGCTCAGAGAAATCACWAATAAGTTTGGTTAACAGCCACACAGAAAGGCCAAAACCCAGGCTGCTCGACCCTGGAAATGCTTCCACTTCAAACACTGATCAGAAGGAACCTGTGTTCTTTTAAACAAAGCATGAGGATCATCTGCTTTCCCTTCASTTTTTGGTTGGGTATGCAGTGCTCCCATCTCTCCCTGGAGATCTTTGACAGCATTCCTCAGGTCATCTACTGGCAGTTGGGAGAGATCCCTAACACTGTGCACCATCATGACAATAAATACAGGCTTTCCCTGGATCTGTCATGCAGATATTCCTATTATCTATACTGATCACRTTTAGCTGCCTCCTGGTGTGAGGACATGCCAGTGTCACCTTGCCTTAGGGCAAAAAAACTACTGCCAGTGAGCAGAAATATGAGTTTCTGTGTGGTTTTGTTGTTTTCTCTTTACTGGTTTTCAGCCCAATACCTCTTTGCACTGCAGCACAGGAAAGGACCAAGCAAGTGCTCAATGTTGCTGCAGAAAAATGTGCAGGTAGCAAACATGAAATCCATGATCTGCAAAGCACTAATAAAGTAGCACCAATTCTCACAATTCAGATGGAATCTGAAATCAACTCCCTTAAAGCAAACAAAGAGAAAAGTGTAAAGATAAAAACTTTGCACACTTTCCAGCAAGCAAAAAGCACAGCAACACTTTCTTAGGAATAATGACAGTAAATAATACCTGAAACAGGCTTCAGATCATGGAAGCATCAGGTGTGATGCCAGAAAACAGTTTCCAGCTCTTTGAAACACTATTGTGACTGATGCATGTTAGTATCTATTTATGCTACAAACCTTGTCTTAACTGCAAAGAAGTACCTATAGAAAGTGAAAGTCTATCTTATGGAGCTGGGGAGGGATTCTGACTTGAAACCAGTCTGTACTAGTTCACTTATCTCATAAAAAAAAATGGAGCAGGTATGCCCAAAAATTTTGGCAGGGACTACGCTTCCCTATTTTTGTCTATTCAGCCACATTTCTCAAAGGAGTTTGAGAGTTGATAATTTATTACAGCACTTTTTCTTTTTCTAAGTATACACTAATAAATGGAAAAAAAATTAAAAACCCATTTCCATATTTCCCAATTTAATTCCCTGGAACAGTTTGTGACTTCAACAAGGGACTTCTCAAGTAAGCATTTTCCTAAGTAAGTGCATAGTGCTTGCTATRCTTCAGTTGTCATGGACTGATCCTGAACAAAACGCTCATAAATTCTTTGTAAAAGCTTCTACAATATTGATTTTTTTTTTTTTCTTTAGCACCATGGGGGATATTGGTTTGAACTGATGGTTATCAAATTTAGGAGACTCTTATAGTTTATGAACATTTCTCATCATTGTTTATCTCAACATCTTATCTCATTGAGTTATTTTATTTTATTGGCTTCAAGTATAAAATCATGTTACAAGTAGTTGTATGCAGGGGAAAATCATGCAGAGCATCTTAATAAAACATCCACACAGAAGAACTGAACAACCAAAACCTCTTTCTGAAAAAACACACTAGCACCAAGTGCTTGAAGGACTCACTGCAGTGAGGTGATACATGGAAGGKGAGAAACAAAAACACTTTGGATTTAGCTGGCTCCTATTCAGACATAGCTGAAAAGATTTGCTTCACTTTTTCAAGCAACCCTGGCCATGGACAGTGTACTGAGCATTGGCATTCAGAAGACCTTTCCCTCATTCTGTGATTTCTTTAGCTGTTCACAGACAGTTTCAGCATGACCTTGCTGGATTCATAAATCACACCTATGACTCCTTCCTTCCCAAATGTTTTATTGCTCTAATGCAGCCTGAGCACTCAGATGAGGCAGTTATCACAATGTTCATTTGACAGCCAAGGAAATGGAAGCAGAGATGAAATGTGATTTCCTGGACATATTGCAGGCAGCCAGAGGCTGATCCAGATAGTGAAATCCTATTACCTGATTTCAGATTTCCAGCACCACCACAATGCCAAACTGAGCAGGGGATCTCTTTCCCARCTTCCCACTTATTTTCTCTATCTAGCACTGGATAAACCCTCCAAAAATACATTGTCCCATAACACTAACAATGTAGCCAGTATTCTCTAATCTACTCTTAACATTTTGTCCTCTCAAGATCTTGCCTCAATGTGGAAGAAAAAAAAAAAGAAAAAATAATGAAGAAAAAGAAAAGCACTGCACACCAATTTGTTCCAGTTAATACTACATATTTTAAATACAACTACATCATGTTCAAGGAAGGAAGCAGCTCTATTTCAAGGAATACAGCTCTATTTAAATACTTTATTAAGYAAATGAAGGCTTCAGTGTAATGAACAGATTAAAAAACTGAGTGCTATTGGCCTGTGCAGTCATTGCTATGAGCAAACTATCATCCTTTCCTTAAAATGTGTTTGGCCAAAGCAACGAAGAAGCATCTTGCCATATCYATCTAGGAATAAGGCTCAGAAGCAGATAAGCCATTTGTTTTTCTCCCGGGAGAAGGCAGTAATGGAAAAGAAAGAACAAACCCCTCAGCACCACAAAGATACAACAGACTTGTCTCCTGGATTAGACTTTAAAGACAGCGAATGGGGGGTTGTAGTGAGCTATCACTACAGATCAGCAGTATAATTGGAACAACTGTACCTCCAATGAGATTTTAACCACAAGCACGAAATCTAAAAGGGAAAATTGTAATTTCTCACAAACTCTATTYGGGATGGGTATTCCACAGAGAAGAAAACCTGCAGCATTCATTTGTAAAAATTAATGCAGGATTGACATCAGCTGCCTAAAGCAAATTTCAGCCTGGAGCACAGCTTGAAGAATTCCCATTTCTCCTTTTGCCATGGTGCAGGGAAGGGCTCACTGGCAACAGGCAGGAAATCCAGTGAAGAGCCCTCCCTCCAGTGTTTTCACTATGCTACAGTACCCCATTCAACACCATCTGAATGATATCCATGGTTTTGGGGCACAATAAAACTCCTGRCTGTCAGGTGCTCTTTTACCATCTAACCCAGAAGGAAGGAGTTGTGCCCTGAAATGCTTGGAATTGTACATGGTGTTGGAAAAATCTCCTGCTGAATGCATGCMTGAGTGTCTGCTGCAGAACAGCATSTCTCCMCTTGTGTYTGGAAATGGAACCSAAATGCTCTTTTTACATCAGCAAAGCAACTCCACCCAGCACATCTGAGTATCCCCTCCACACAGGGGAAGACTTTTCTTCCTGCTGGAAGTCACCTCCTTGAGAGCTCTGTATGTGTAAGAAATCCTGAAGAGGGTTTTCATAAGAGAAAGCCAACCTGAAAGCCAGCTGAAGGCAAAAGAAACCAGTGTTGTAATGAATTTTGTTTAATTTCTTTGCATTAGTCCATTATCAAAATGTCGCAGTTGCAATTGGTACATTTAAAGGAATTTATAAAAACAAGAGAAAAGCAAGCTGCAAAATTTAAGAGCATCTGCACAATTTCCTGTGATTCAAATCAGCAGCAGCAGCAGAGTCACTGACGCTGGATCCTTTCCAAAACCAGATCCTTTTGTCAGATTTTAACCTCTGATGTGTTTCTATTCATGYAATCCCACTGAACCAGGTATAGCCCATTATTATTCCGGAACCTTGCTGTTTGAAAATCTGTTTAGTTAGGTTCAGTTAGGAAAACATTTAACTAACAGTAAACTGAGACAGAGAGATATKCAATAAGCCCCATTGTACAGCGATTCTGCAGCAACCCAGGAAAAGAGAATGGAATTTGGATTCCCTGAACTGAATCTCTAAACGCCAATGTGTGCTTTTACACTTGTGTTTGAGAGGCTGCAGGGGAACCTGCATCTAAGTAATAGTGTCAAGCAAAGGATGTTTTTCTGTATATTCCGAAAATAGCTTCCTGCATTCAAAAATTCATTTTCACTTTAAGACACGGAAAGTTTATTATCCACTTCAATTCTCTCTGTTTCGCTAAGGAAGAGACACCCTGAGTGGCTGAAAAGCAGTGGTTGCAAATGGCTGATTATTTTCTGTACTTGCAGCTCCCCCAGACACAGCTGCTTCCTTCTCCTGKACAGATAAGAGCTGCAGCAGGGACACACACACCGGGAAAGGAACAGCCACGTTCACTATCTACACATTTTGTATTTCAATGGATCTGGTTAATAGGAATACTGTGCTGAAGGACAACAATATCAGACACATTCTTCATGGAAAAGATCTGCTTACAGGCAATTTTTTATTGTCCGACCTAACTTAAARAATGCCTGAACAATGAGACCTACCGAGGACAATCTAGGCTAAATGCAACTAGCTGCATGTGCCACAGGCAGAATGAGAYTGGGTAACTGGGAGAGTGACACTGCCCAGCTATCTGAGACAAGGCCCTGCTCTGGGTAACACAGCTCCTATAAATAGCAGATGTTCTCCCAGCA